GTGTGGACGGAATTTGACAGCGCCATGGCCCAGCCAGACCACTTGCCGGCGTCGGTCACCTTTCAACGGGCCGCGTTGACTCACCCTCCCCGTTCGGGGCCCAAGGGGATCAGCAGGGAAGCCTGGTTTATATTTTATATGAATGAGGCCTGCGCCAGTTTTTAGGAAGCCGTCCGAGCGATCCCGCCCGTTCCTTGGACGACTGACATTATCGCCCATCTTCAGACCGTCCAAACTCATATTCCCCAGGCAGCTAAGAAGGCGCCCCCAAGCCCCAAGACCGCGCCGAGGGAATCACATGCGTCGGAAAGGTCGAAGATCCGCATTGCCACCCGTAGAGGAATTGCCGGGGCCCCGGAAAGAGCGCCACCTGGCTGCCGGCGTTTTCTCTGAGCGCCGCACCCTGTTCAGGTTTACCTGTCGCTCAAAAACTGGCGAACTGGCTTCCACTAGTGACGTTGAAGAGATACACAAGACGTGGAATGAGCAGCCGGGGGCGTCAGATCACGTGGTGAAGCCTACTCAAAACGAGGCGCGGGGAAGCGAAGGGACGCCTGCCCGTCAGGTGAGTTGTAGGAACAGATGGAAGGCGCCATCTCTGTTTCGATGTCCTCTCTGCGCCTCTGCCCCCCAGCCCAAGACTGCGCGGGCGGGCTCGGGGTCTTTAGCACATCGTGGAAGACCCGAGCATTGACAGCTTATCGCTCAAGCTCTCGCGAGATTACGTTTCTGAGCTGGCCGATTCCTTCGGGCCTGGGATAAAGGCGATCCGTGGAGTGTAAGTTCGGATGCGGCTGCGTGGATTTGCAATAATTCGCCATGGGTTCGCAGGAGATATTGGTTTCTCCACCCAGCAACACAGAGCTGTCTTCTCAGCTAAAGAACTGGAAGGGGTCCGAAGCTCGATTGATTTTCGAACGCCGACCATGGAATGCAACCACGTCCACAGGACTCTGAGGTTTGCTGGAAGACCCCCTAAAATCGCTCTCTCGGCACCTTGCACGCGCAACTCGCAGGGCGTTGCAGCTGGGACCCCCACCCAAGTTCAGGACATCATGCAGGACAATTTTGCTAGAGCTTAGGGAGGGTGGGAAATGACTGAGGGGAAGGCTGCAGCAGTACAACAATGCTAGTCAAATACCCGTTCGACCCTCGCGCTCCATGGACGCCCCGGCATCGCCAACCGCGCATGATTACACCGCCCTGTTTTGCCGAGCCCAACCCAGAAAACGGGCTGGGCCTGACCGTTTTCCTGATGATATCTTCAAAGCGGCGTCTGTGGACCTCGCCAAGGCCCCGCGCCCCCCCCGCTTATAATTGCGGCCCATGGGCGCGAACCTCTCAATTTCAAGGAAGGAGAGGTGACATGTTTCTACAAGCGCTCGGGTGGCACGTGGGCGGCCACTGCCCAAAGGAACATCCTGAATTACAACGCCTCGGCCAAAATGCATCACCGCTTCGCGAGGCAAAAAGCTGCTGATTTCATGTACGCGGCTTTGAACGTCACCCAGATCGGAGGTCGCCCAGGTTGCTCAACTGAATTTGCTGCGCTTTACATTCGACGGCACCGGCGCGCCACGCGCGCTCAGGAAGTCTCAGCGGGAGGAGTTGTCATTGATTTAGTTGCGGCTTTCTACTCGACTGCAAAGCAAGTGGCCCTCCGACAGCCGCGAGACGAGGATTCCACGGAGCGCGCCCTCCAAACAAAGGAGCTCTGTCCGTTCATGGTTCAGGAGGTCAAGGAGCAGCTGGCGCAACCCCCTATACTCAACGAGCCAGCTGAGACCGCGCACGTTCTCGCCCCGCTGCGAGAGCCGCAGCCTGGACCCCATTGGAAGCCGCCCCCCCCCACTCAAGATTGGACACCCCCCTCCGTCGGCCCCCGCCCTGGGCCCACCCCTGCTGGGGATGCGTTTAACTCTGTGTTCTCTGGAATCGTCAAAGATTCACAGGCTGCTCTGCGGCAGGAAGAACTGATTTGAACGCGGACCAACCCTACGCTCAGATCATTTGTTGAAGACGATTGGAACCGCGCGACTGGTGACATCTCAGTCACCGATGACCTCGCCATCCCCCCTTGCTGACAACGCCCAAGATTTGCTTGGTAAAATCACACGGGCGCACGATATCCTTGGCGGGCTTGCGCAGCAGCGGCGCTCAATAGTCAACGCCCTAAAAACCAAGGCCCCACGGCTTTCAAGGGGGCGGGGCAAAAGGCGGCGACGCAACGTCTCGCCGCCCAGGCCCGCCCAACCCTCCGCTCTGAAAGGCGGGGACAGGATCTCGAGGTGGCAAGATGGCACAAGATTCGAGGGCCATGAATATGGACACGGGGGGGCATGGAGCGGAGACACCCCACTGCGCCGCGGCGACGGTTGGGGCGCTTTGTCCCGTCAAGAAGATTGTTGCCCCATCCCCCCTGATCCCTGTGCCTGAGAAGGCTATGCATTGCGAGTCGCTGGCCGCCTCTAGGATGATCGATGGTTGCGCCATTTGGGATGATGCGCCACGCGCACCTGGAGGCAGATTGCGCTGCACCATGCTGCGATTCATCGGACTGCAATCAACCCTGGGAAGGAACATCGGCGACGAGTAGGTTGCTACCAGGAGACTTCTAGCGGCAGTCAGGCGTCTCCCAATGCAGCTCGTCGCGACTATCACCCGTCTCCATTTCTTTGCTCGCCCCCTCGCGCGTGCCCCGCCGACGGGGCGCGCGCTGCCTGACGCGGCATGCGGGGGTGCCAGGACACTGGCCGCACCTCATCTGCCATGACCTGACTTGGCTGCGCAGAACTGCCCCCCCTTCGAACCCCCCAGATGACGAGTGGATCCCCATTTGCGATTCAGACGGGTAGAGATGAGCCCCGCAGTTTCGTCAGATCGGTGGGCGCCGCGGGGGCCGGGGCCAACTTCCAGTGGCAGGAAGAGCTGGGATGTGACATGCGGCGAACGAGATTGTCTCAGATTCGCAACAATATCCCGAATAGCGACGGGATCTCTCTTGCCCTTGCACGCCCTCTCCAGCTTGAGCGCGTCAAGGGGGCCCCTTTTTGCGGCCCCTGCCCCCCCGCCTGCTGCCCCTGTGGACACTTCTCCCGCACGTGCGCTGGATGCCCAGCTCGCGCGCTACATGCGCGGGCCCACGTCGGATAAGGAACAGGTTGTGAAGGTGCACATTGGAAAAAGAGCAGAAGTCAGCTAGTGCCCCGACGATGTTTGTCGCTGGCACGACCAACCCATTCTGCCTCGCGCAGTTCTGGGACACGGCTAGGCTCCTCAAGCATATACGAAGTGCGTCGAGCTGTAGGGAATGTTGGATCGACTCCCAGTTGCGACCGTCGAAGGAGGAGCTGGAGGAAAACACTGCGGAACGGAAGGAAGTGAAGCGGGGGGCCAGCCGGGCCAAGGGCCTGTCGGAGCGTTTCGCCCATGTCCCTGCGGTTCGCGTTGCTGGTCCGTCTTTTCGCCCGTCAGTCCGCATCCCGAAACCCAGTCCGATGGTGATCTTGTCTGTGGTGCCACTCCCTGATGCTGCCTTGGCCCAAGCGCCCTCTGTGCAATGGCCTGCTTCTCCCACGACTTGCTCCTACGCCGCGTTTATGGTTTACAAAAGAGAAGCTGTTCAGCATGCTATACGGTATTTTGCTGAAACCCCCCTGTGGAGGACAGATCACGTTTGGCCGATCGTCCTTGAATGAAACGCGAGCGACCCACGGAGCTTCATGAACTCCCACACTCTTATATCCATGGGCTTGCTCGCTGCAAGGGAAAATGGCCAGTCTGTTTATTGAAGACACTCTCATCAGTTCCACGCAAGCTTCGCACCCGATTGGCTCGCTCCCTGAAGGCCTCAAACCTGCTCGCACAGCATCGGTCCCATGGGTTTGCACCAAGACCAGCGACAGCGAAAGGCAGTGGATGTGTTCGCATGCTCAGCTATGGTTACAGTGTGTCGCCCATGGGGCTCCTGTTTGCTGGGTGATCCCACTTTCCCCATCGGTCAACGCGGTCCAACCCTTTTCTGGCCTCCCCCCTGAGATCGGTGCCCTTTCGAAGCTGCCCAAGTGTGGACAAACTCTGCTGGCGACGAGAGCGCACACATATTCTAGCATCCCACTTTGAGTGGCCTTGTGGGATGCGTGGCCAAGTGCTGCGAACACGGTGACGGGTGGAGGGATGACTGATTTCTCCCACGCTGACCCTGTGAGATGCCTCAACCATCGTCTCCGCCTCCCTTGCTTCCGTGGGCGTGCTGGGGGGGGGGCATGGCGCGATCCGCGTGTACCAGGCCGCCTGAGGACACGGACAGTGTGGTTGCGCGTGCCTGTGCCAAGCGGCCAATGCGCGCCTGCTGTCTGCAGGTATATCAGCTGTCACGCAGAGGAGCAAGGGACAGGATAGTGTAAGCGCTTTGGGAGAAAGGGCTGCCCCCGACGGGGTCGTGGACGGAGCCCCCACCCTGACGTCTGGCGGTCTTCGTTGGATGGATGGCGCCACGTTCATGCATGACCCTATTGTTCGCCAGCACAATCTCGAGGAATGCTGGGAAGGGGAGGCCGCCTGGGGCATGGTGTCGGGACCCACCCCTGGCCCAAACGCCGAACCGTCAGGACCGCCTTTGCCAGGCGTGTCAGCAGGGCGTTCCGAAGGGGACTCGCTGGCCCACCTAGCGTTGGTGTCGCCCTGACCCTCCCTCCCCTTACACGAATTCGTTTTGCATGCCTTTCAACTGTATCCCTCTGGCACGGGCTCAAACTGTTAAGCCCCAAGTAGCGAGCGAGCGAGCGAGGAGGAGAAGGCGGCGGAGGAGGAGGAGGAGGGATGGAGATGGAGGAGGAGGAGGAAGAAGCGGCAGCAGGGCAGGGAGGGAAGCGGGAGGCGGGGGAGAAGTCCAGGAGGGAGGATAGGAGGGGAGGAGGGATGGAGGGATGGACCGAGGGATGAAGGCTGGAGGCCACCTCTGGAGCCCCCCCCCCTGAGCTGCCCCTGGAATCTGGGGCCTCGAAGGCGGCGGGCTCGACGTCCTGAGAGGAGGGGCGGGGAGCCGACGCGTCGGTGCAGCAACACGTGGTGGGAAGCACCAACGGCAGCGGTACCAGTAATGAGCACGGTTAGGTGGCGACATTCGACCCCTACCCCACAGACCTTGTGTTCGTTTCGGACTTAAGTTGGAGTCGAGCGCCAACTCCCGGGCAGAAACGGGACCGAACGAGGGCCCGAAAAAAAAGCAAACCAGCGAGGGCCAGAGGAAAGACACCACAGCGGAGGGACAGCGACCTAGCGACCCCCAGCAGACCATCGATTCTCCAGAATCGATGGGAGGCGGGGGCAGGGTTCGGATTTAACCGTGTTCCTCGTCGTCGTGCAATGTTTGCTTTCGTACTCCCTCCTTTGACCTTCGTCCAGCCTCTGCTGAAAAACGGAATCGAAGCGAAAACGGCCCACGAAATCGCCAAAACACCATTTAGGTCGAGCCCTCTATGACAACGCAAGTGCGCCGACAAGAACAATTAACAATGAAGAACAGCGCGGGCTGAGGTCGCACGGATCTGCTCCTCCGTCTCGACGCGTCCATCCCCTGGGCTCAAGCGAAAAAGAAAGAACTCCCCTGAGCTCAAAATCGCCAAGCGAGGTTGAAGCACTCCCAGAAGCCCGTCTTCCCACCTCCACCCTTCAAGATGCCCTGGACTCCCCACTCCCAAGATCGACACCTGGCGGAGGTGCGTACTCAGCCGACGCTGTCGTTCTGGGGGCGACTAACGGTGGCAGCCCGTCAGCCTCCAAACTGGACGGGACGAGACGCCCAGTGCGGGTCCATCTTGCCAAGCCAAGTCACCACCATCCGAGTCGTCATCAACAACAGCAACCACAACAGCAACAACAACAGCAGCAGCAGCAACAACAACAACAAACAAACACAAGCACGACCGCAATCCAAACAAAAACGACAGCAACAACAGCAACAACAGCAACAACAACAACAACAACAACAACAACAACAACAACACCCACAGCGACAACCACAACAGCAACCACAACAACAACAGCAACAGAGACAAGAACGACGACCACCACCACAACCACAACCACAACCACCACAACAACAACAACAACAACAACAACAACAACCACAACCACAACCACGACCATCACAGCAACAAACACAACCACAACCACAACCGCAACGACGGCGATAGCGAGAACGATGACGACAACGACAACAAGCACAACAATAACAGCAGCAAAACACTAAAACTTAGCGAAAAACAACCACCACTGCAACAACAACGACCACAATCACAACAACTACAACAACCGCAACCACTGCAGCAACCACAACAACACCATCCGAATCGTCGTTATCATCATATACAACTGCAAGCAATACCAACCCCAACAACAGCAATAGCAATCACAACCACAACAACAAAGCCACAACAACAACCACACCAACAACAGCAGCAGCAACAACAACAACAAGCACAGCAGCCAAAACAACAACCACAGCAGCAACAACAAAAGCAGCAAAACAAAAACGACGAAAACAAATGACAAACAAAAAACAAAAACCTTAACAACAATAACCACAACCATAACCACAACCGCTACCACTACCACCACAACAACCACAACAATAGCAACAACAATCATTGTAAGACTGTTCGCTCTTACCTGCTCGCGAGCCATTTAACACGCATATCCCAAACCCTCGGTACCCGCCCTATTCGTCTTCGATCGTAGCCTCTTGTGGGCATATCTTCCTTATCTGCAATGTGCATTAGCGCAGTCCCTAGAACAGGGGACGAGAGGACGGATGGAAGGGGGAGGGAGAGAGATGGAGCACGAGAAACCCGCAGGAGGGGGGCTAGGAGCAGAAAACACATGGCAGAACCAGACGGGCAGATCGGACCGGCAGACCCTACGTAGCGGGCGGGTGGCGGCCAGGTCGAGCAGGCAGGTTGCTAAAGCGTGAGTCCTGCATGAATCGCGAGGAAGTCTAAAGCGATAGAGCGATTCCCAAGAAAGCCCTGAGAAAAGCCAGAGCGAGAGCGTAATTCCTGAGTGTCGAGGGAGCGGCGTCTGAATAAATTGCGAAAGAATCCCACGCGAGAGCGCGATTCCTGCATAAAATGCGAGGATATCCTGCACGAGAGCGCGACTTTGGAATAACTTGTGGCCAAATATCAGGTAGGAGCCGTTATTATTGTTGTCGTGAGTCGAGGCCTGGGGCCCAATCTGAGCCACCAGACTTACCCGTGTGAAAAACAGGGTACGAGCCCCGCGAGGAGCACTTTAATTGAAGAAAAACATGGTGCACTGGGGCAATCAACAACAACATTATCATCAGCATCATCAACATCATCACCACACGATACATATTATACATCCCTTTTCTGTGCAAGAGAGTCGTGCTGGACGCAGCGAAACTTCCGCCTGGAGCCCGAGCACAGCCGGCCTCCAGCATTATTTGTTGCTATTCGGCACACCTTCAGTCGTCGTCAGCAGCAGAAGGAGCGGTAACATAATCCGTACATCGTTGTCATCATCATCGTTGTCGTCGTCATCACCACCACCACCACCATCACCACCATCACCATCATCATCATCATCATCATCATCATCATCATCATCATCATCATCATCATCATCATCATCATCCTCATCCTCATCATCAGCATCATAATCATCATCATCATCATCAGCAGCATCATCATTATCATCATAATCATCCTCATTGCCATCATCAGCATCATCAGTATTATTATCATCAGCAGCAGCATTATCATCAACATCATCCGAATATCATCGTATCATCATCATCAGCATCATTATCAGCATCATCAGCATCATCATCGTCATCGTCGTCATCATCAGCATCATCAGAATCACCAGCAGCATTAACAACAACATCTTCCTCATCATATTCAGCAGCATCATCAACATCATCCTCATCGTAATGCTGATGATCATCATGACCACCATTACCAACGACATGCTACAAACCCCCTGCTGTAGCTGCCTTTCCTATCATTACAGTCCTAATCATTATCCTCACCACTTCCATCATCATCCTCCCCATCATCATCACCACCATCATCGGCATCAACATCAGCATCAGAATCATCAACATCATCATCATCAGCAGCATCAGCAGCATCATGAGCAGCATCATCATCATCACCATCATCATCAGCATCATCATCATAATCATCGTCATCGTCATCCGTATCATCAGCAGCAGCAGCATGATAATCATCACCATCGTCATCCTCATCATCACCACCACCATCATCATGATCATCGTCATCATCATGATCATCATCATCAGCATCAGCAGAATCATCATAATCATCATAATCGTCAGTGGCATCGTCATCGTCATCAGCATCATCAGCAGCATCAGCATCATCAACATCATCAGCATCATCAACAGCAACAGCATCATCAGCATCAGCGTCAGCATCAGCACCATCTCCATCATCAGCATCATCATCAGCGTCGTCATCGTCGCAACCATCATAAACCCCATCATCATGGTCATGATCGTCCCCTCTCTGTGCCTGCATCAACTCCACCCTCCCTGCAGCCCCTCTCTCTGCCCTCCGTGCTCCCGCCGGCACTGCCGAGCGGGTGCCCACGGCAGAATCGTGCCGTGACGGGGTCTGCGCCACCGCGCGGATCGTTCCACATGGAAAGATCGCGGCTTTCCGATGGCGCGGATCCTTCGATATCTACAGTAGAAGCTCGACCACAAGAAACCTTCCACAAGACCCCAGGACGTTCATTGGTTCTGCTGTGTGAACGTCACGCTTTCCATAGCAAAACCATCGAAACCCAAGAAACCCAGGGCACCCTGAAGGCAAGCAGGGTGTTTCTTGGCATGGGTTTCCACTATACCGATTGTGGGTCACCGCAGGCGTGAATGTCCGAGCCAGGACCGCGGCCGAAATTAACGCGGCGAGAACTTGCCGTGGGTCGTGAAGCGGGTGTGATATGACGCCGACAGGCTCATCGCGACATCGAAGGGGGCCAAAAGTGGAAGCTGGCATCGCACTGGTACTCCGCAGCACAATCATCAAGCAATTTACGGCGCAATGCGAGGACGAAAAGGGAGGGTAGGCGGATTGCGTCACACTGCACATTCGCAGAACGTCTGCGGCTGCCTCGAGCTGAAAGCTGACGTCAGACTCTCAATAGTTTCTGCGACTCGGCCCATGCGGCTAAACGACAGCGCCGAAGTGTCCAAGCCCACTAAATACAACTCCAATACGATGGCTGCTAGAGCACTGCTAGTCCGTCGTCGCGATGGTCGCACGTGCCCCCTGGCCCTTCATCAATGCAAAAGTTGATCTTCCCATGGGTATGCGCACGATGTTGAAGGGCATGTGGATAAAAGGGGACACTTCGCCCATCATTGGCACATGCACTAAATGCTTGACAGTTTGGACCCGAACAGTGCGTCATGGTACTGTGGGTGCGCAAACTATACGGACCCAGATGTGTGGTGTCAGCTATGCAGTGCAAGCTGCGTGCTCCAAGCTATGTAGAGAAAGCTATGCGGTGCAAGCCATGTCGTGCAAGCGATGTGGTGCAGGCTGTATGGTGGAAGCTATGTGGTGTAAACTATGCGATGCAAGCTATGTGGTCCAATACGTGTGGTGTGAGCTATGTGGTGCAATATGTGTGGTGCAAGCTATGTGGTGTAAGCTGTGTAGGGTAAGCTATGGGGTGCGAGCTTTTTGTTTCCGCTTTTTTCATAAACCACGATCACTGCTCGCAGGCCTACGGCAAACTACGTGGTGTCAGCTACAATGTGCAAGCTGTGTGGTGAAAACTACGTGCTGGAACTAGTTTGAGGCAAGCTTTGCGGCAAAACCTATGTGGTGCAAATGATTACCCTGCACCACGCTTGACCACCTCCACTGCTCGCGCAAACATCCCACCCACCCACCCGCAACTTGGTTTGCAAAATCTCTTAAGACCGTGACGGTGGGTACCAAATGGCACTTGGCAACGACGACGACGACGACGACGACGACGACGACGACGCCGACAACGACTACGACGACACCGACGACGTCTCCAACGACTTCGACGACGCC